ACATCTCTGAGATGCTTTCTTAGGCAACACAAGAATTGAATGAACGCATTGCATTGACCTAAGGTGAGATATTAACGTCCGACCAAGGTCAAAATCAACCTGCTTTATTGCTCTAGGGTTTGCTGTATGGGGTAGTTTCCGGTGGTCATTTCGAATTTATTGATGACTAGAACCGTATTATACACCTGCCATAGACTGCTTGATGGTCAGAATAGGTCACTGATCTACAACGACCCACGTCGACATTTTGTCTTTAGGGGCATACTGGCTAGCGTAATCTATGTCGCTTATCCAAATGCGAAACTCAAAGCAGTCTTGTATCATTTTGGTCACCGTGACATTCAAAAGGTCAAGCACTGTCACTGACTTTAGATGAGCATGCGACCTTTTGCTTAAAATAGTTATCTAGGTTTCAGGGACCCTTTGGAGACCAGCCTGAAATTTAACCTTGTTTGAATTAATTTGACCCGAAGGTCATGACCTAGACACTTCAAACTTTGACCTAGGTGAGTTCACGTACAGATCAACACACCCTGTGAATTTGGGGTTTTTAGCTCCCTTAGTTCCTGAGATCTCCTGAGTCCACAGCGTCCTGTAGCAGCGCCCACTCGGTGTGCACACTGCAAGACACGGCCTCCAGCACCGGGGTCGGGACGCGCTATTTCATGAGGCTGGATGTCCGGTCAGGTTACTTCCAGACACCGCTCAAGCGCCATGGCCAGGATCTCACCTGCTCCACATCCCTGTGGGGTCGGCTCCTGATGTTGAATCTGCCTCAGGATCGGCTCCGGATACTGAGGCTGCCTCGGGGTCGGCTCCGGACACTGAGGCTGCCTCAGGGTCGGCTCCGGACACTAAGGCTGCCTCAGGGTCGGCTCCGGATACTGAGGCTGCCTCAGGGTCGGCTCCGGATACTGAGGCTGCCTCAGGGTCGGCTCCGGATACTGAGGCTGCCTCAGGGTCGGCTCCGGATACTGAGGCTGCCTCAGGGTCGGCTCCGGATACTGAGGCTGCCTCAGGGTCGGCTCCGGATACTGAGACTGCCTCAAGGTCGGCTCCGGATACTGAGGCTGCCTCAGGGTCGGCTCCGGATACTGAGGCTGCCTCAGGGTCGGCTCCGGATGCTGAGACTACCTCAGGGTCGGCTCCGGATACTGAGGCTGCCTCAGGGTCGGCTCCGGATACTGAGGCTGCCTCAGGGTCGGCTCCGGATACTGAGGCTGCCTCAGGGTCGGCTCCGGATACTGAGGCTGCCTCAGGGTCGGCTCCGGATACTGAGGCTGCCTCAGGGTCGGCTCCGGATGCTGAGACTGTCTCAGGGTCGGCTCCGGATACTGAGACTGTCTCAGGGTCGGCTCCGGATACTGAGACTGTCTCAGGGTCGGCTCCGGATACTGAGACTACCTCAGGGTCGGCTCCGGATGCTGAGACTACCTCAGGGTCGGCTCCGGATACTGAGACTACCTCAGGGTCGGCTCCGGATACTGAGACTGTCTCAGGGTCGGCTCCGGATGCTGAGACTACCTCAGGGTCGGCTCCGGATGCTGAGACTGTCTCAGGGTCGGCTCCGGATACTGAGACTGTCTCAGGGTCGGCTCCGGATACTGAGACTGTCTCAGGGTCGGCTCCGTATACTGAGACTACCTCAGGGTCGGCTCCGGATGCTGAGACTGCCTCAGGGTCGGCTCCGTATACTGAGGCTGCCTCAGGGTCGGCTCCGGATACTGAGGCTGCCTCAGGGTCGGCTCCGGATACTGAGACTGGCTCAGGGTCTCTCCGCCAGTGGAGACCAGTATAGCAGACCGGGCGATCAAGCCCTCTCCGGCATACCGTGTACCTGTAAAATCGTCGATGATGTGCTGGCATTCGACTGGGAACATGCCGAGTGCAGCACGTCATCTGCATCTTGGAACTGTGCGATACAGCGGGCGTCACGCTGCACCCAGGAAAGCTGGTCTTCGCCGAGCCGCCAGTCAGCTGCTGTGGCTAGGACGTGACCGCCGACGGTTACACAGTCGACCAACGGGAGGACAAGGCCATTGCTGAGTTCGCCACACCCGCCATCACTGGTTTGCGCGGCTTCATGGGACTGGTGAGTTAGCTGGGTGCCTTTTCGGCAGACACTGCACTGGCAGCCGGGCACCTAGGCGACCGGCTTCGACCCCAGAACACATGGGTGTGCGCTGAGACTCACACTCAGGCCTTCCAAGCTGTGAAGAAGGAGCTCATTCTACCTCCACAAAGTTGTGTACAGAACTATACCACCTGGGACGTCAGGCTGCTGCGTTATCGGGGCTCAGAAGTCAATGCAGGGTCGGAGGACTTATTTCCTCTTGATAGGGAGGCAATACAGTACCTTACATAGTGGCCGTGCGTAGCAGCACCACTAAATCTACTCATCGGCGTTAAGGGTGATGCAATACTTTTCTCAGTATGCTACACTGAGCTGAAATTATATGTTGCCCTTATCTATGCTATCAACCAATCCCACTATCACCGTCCAAAACGACTCCCGCACGCGGCCTTTCCAAAACAAACGTCGGAAGGCTACATAAGTGGCGCGCACGGAGCAGCAGTCTTCAACGACATAGCCGCTGTCAGTAAGTTGTCGGTTCTGATGTTACTTTTTTGGACGTAATGATTTTGTGAAACATCCATCGGCAAATTTGAGCTCAAATAAAATATAAATAGTAAAAACGTAGGAAATTATATAAATACAAAACCAGAAGCTCCACTCAACGGAGAACAAGAAACTCTGCTTTAGCTTTATATTCAGATCACAATTTTGCGGCAACGCTCTGTAAATCGATAGAAAAAAATCCATGTCTTTACTTATTGCCCATTTTGGAGGTTTTTATCCCGTATTCAGCTCGGATTTCTTGGTAAAGATTATGCCTTCTCTCCAGAACCGAAGACTCGCGCAGCTGCCGATTTCCGCGTGCCCAAGCGAGTGTTTGGGTGGTGTTTGACATCACTGTTATACTTTCTATAGAATCTAAATTTTTGGCAGCTTAAAATGCAAATTTACTAAGGGCGACATTTAAAAAGATCAAAAATATTTTCTTACTTGATACATGATCAATTCTTGTCACATTGAGGTGTATGCATTAGTATGACATCATGTATTTTCGTATGAATATTTATTGTGTTACAATGATTTCCACTTAAAATCCAGAAATGTTGAATCGCGATGTTTAAGAGATGTTCTCTGTTCTCTGGCTTCTCCTTGACTATTTGTCCCGTCGGGAGAGGCGGCTGCTGTTTTGAGTGCAGGTTCGAAGCCCAGCATCTGAGCGCGAGGGTGTCTTTGTTGAACGGTAGATGGCTTAAACGTGTGCTGGTGAGCAGCAAGGAGCCTGGGCATTGAGTGTATTGAGAGGAAACATCGTGTGTAAAGGTTCGGCTGAAACTCGGAGGCAGTATCTCTCCTTTAGTCGTGTGAGTATGCCACGCGATGCTGTTGAAGTTTTAGGAAGTTTTAGGAACAGCTTACCTTCATCCCACATTGCTCACAGAGAACAATTGTTATAGTCTTTCCAGTGTATTTACGGGGAGAACAAAATGTCTTGGGGTTAAAAACACCGCGAAACACCCAAGGTTTATACACCGCATCAAGATCAATGCAGGTCACTGGCGCGCACCACCAGTGATCACACCCATTTTAAGCGCCTGATTCACACCCAAATGTCAAATAAGTGTGATTCATCTCTTGCACAGCCCGCGTAACCATCAAACTGCAGTGGTGCTCACAATTTTGGAGTCAAATGGGCTCGAGACGTGGAGACGTCCCAAGTCGTCCACACGTGTCTCGCGGTCACGTCCGAGGCGTACAGGAGTAAGGAGGCACCCGGTTACATTCGCCCGCTTCTGTGGTGTTGTTCCCTGTGCCAGAAGTGGCAACTGCAACAATAGCACAGCGTTTCGTAGAACTCACGGAAAACTAGCTTTATGTTCGCGTATCATTTTGTCTAATCAAAGTGTTTCAAGCTCTCGTAGCATTTATTACACAAACATTTTGACACCCTATTGTATTACGAGCATTGTAGAACACAGGGGCCCGCAGGATCGGCTACTTAAACCCGAAATTCTGGGCTATGGAGAGCGGTTTTGAGAAAACTGGTATTATAGGTTAAATCGTAAGCGTCTGATGTATCAATAAGTGAAAAATAAATATCAAGAGAGATAATCCCTTTAACCCTCGCTCAGGTTGTGTGTGTGTGTGGGTGGGGTGGGTGTGGGGGGGGGGGGATCCTAAGACCAGGTAGTCTGACCGGGGGTGTTCCACAGGGCAGCGGTGTGACAAATATACGCCGATTGAGGGGTTGTGGTCCGCAGCCAGTTCATGACAGGGAAATATCAGTTGAGACGGCATTGTTTGCTGTGGTATGAGCTGAGGGGCCAAAGGCTATTTACTCGCTTTTTCCGTGACTGCTCAACGCTGGCTACAAGATGATCGTTCTTCGCGCGGGCCTTAGGTAATGCAGGCGGCTGTTAGCACCAATGCAATACGTGAGCGGTTGTCTTTCGTATTTGGTGTTGCATGTGGATATCTGTAGACCGACACGTCATCGTCGGATGCCGTACACAGTCCTGCTCACTCTATCTTTGGGAAGCCGCGAGCTCACATCTCGGCAAACGCACAACCACGGCTCACACCCATATGTGTATTTCTCGGCTCGCGCCACGAACACATCTCCGACACGGCCATCCAGCCGCCACCTCGACGTCCACGAAATACAAAACGCTTCGGCGCCGTGCCGGCGTCTGGCCGTGCTCACACGGCTGGGCTGTCGGCGCGGACTGAGACGGGGCGCGACCTGACCGTGGCCGTCAGCTCTGCGCCGCTAGAGCCCGCCGTGAACTCCGTGGCGGCTCACGCGTCCCCTCGGGCGCTGGCCGGTCCGAGACTCCCCCCCCCCCCCGGCGCGGAAAGACGGCTCGCGTGCCGAGGCCGCGGCCTCCGTTGGCATTGTCCACCGCTCCACAGGGGGGAGGGGGGGGGGGGGTCCTGCAGGAGGTCGTCGTGGATCCGGGCAGGGGAGGGGACACGGAGCCACCCGCCGACTGGCGGCAGAACAGCCAGGTTCGGGTCCGGGGGCAGAACTGAGAGCGCTTTGGATGCGAAATCGACCAAAGGTGAGTTGGGGTGGCCCCATCGACGGATTGCGTGCTGCGGACGGGAATTCGTGCCGCGCTTTACCCTTGGTCAGGTTGTTAGGTGTTTCAATGGCTACCGCTTCTTAATTGGCTGTTACCCGCGGCACGGGTCCTTAAATTAGACACAGCAGTAATTCATGTTCCTGCCGCCGCCACAGACGTCGATGGCACCTGATTAACAACCATAAACACGTCACAAGAGGTGCTCAAACCAGCCCGCAAACAGCAAACAGTTCAAACCCTCAAATAGCTATGCATTTCATACAGAAACACCTGCATGATCCACTGCACCAAAACCCACCTGCATGCATCATCCGTTGAACAGATGTATCTCCACCGATAAAAATATGGTCAACAACAAACATCGGCCACAGTCAGTCACACTGTGCAGCGCTCACATTAATCCGCTTGCATTTGACTTATCCGCCATTCGCCTGTTTGGCACGGAGAGGCAGCACCGACTGATGTGAGTCCGGGCCCCAGAGCCGTCCATGGCACGGAGAGGCGGCACCGACTGATGTGAGCCTGGGCCTCAGAGCCGTCCACAGCACAGAGAGGCGGCACCGACTGATGTGAACCTGGGCCCCAGAGCCGTCCACGGATGTTTGTTCAAAGTTTAGAGCCTGAACGTGGCCTCATGTTAATAGCGCGGATATTGCGCTGATTTGTATGGAGGCATGGACAGATATGACACGCTTTTGCAGAAAAGTGTGGTGCAGGTGTGTTGGCTCATCCCAGTAAACCCGCCCGATTTTATTGGAAGTGAGTTTAGATTAGTCGACAAGTTCGCGTTATTTAGAACGAAACTTAGACAATTGGAGCTAAATAGTACACGAACATCTGGACTTCCCAGCTAGGCATACAGCCGCATAGCATTGGATTTCAAAATAAAGCCTATGCGGTTGTCGCAGTTGAACGACTCTCCCACGCATGGCCCGACCGCCAGCAACAAATGCACACTCACAACAAGTTACAGAACACCGTCAGCCTTCATCAATGTAGCCTCATAATACCCTGCTATAGCCACAGTTCAAGTGAACGGGCCAGAAAGTGCCAGGAGAAGGAACGCTTAGGGACCACGTGGGGCCATCCTGTCTGGACACGTGGGGCCATGGCACCCCGCCGAGAGGCGCCGGCGCCGTGCCGCACCCGCAGTCGATGACGTCACATCTGACGTGATGTCATCTGGCTCATCACAGCAGGCGCCGGTGTCAATGTCCTCCGTGTCGTGACCCCAACAGCCGCTCGCCAATATAAGGACCAACGAGGGAAGGGCGCGGACCTGTTGCGGGAGGATGCTCTAGAGATCCGTAGGCGCGCCTGGCACTCGGCCAGGATGCGCTTGGTCGGTGCTGAGGCGTTGCCAAGCCTCCGCCCGCGTGAAACTCTCGCGACCTTGACCCGAGTCAACTTCGGCTCTCAACCCCCGAAAGTCGCTTTCACCTGCTTCCACCCCGCTCCCCTATCGCGCCCTCGCCCCTGGGGGTGTGATCCCTACTGATCCATCCCCGCCCCCAGCTCATGGCCTGACCGCGGGATCGACTGACACCCACAGCCCTGGTTGGGCTGCTGGCCGCTGCGACGCCCCCCAGCCGCGGGTCTCGGTCACACCGTGACGACCCTGCAGGTGTTGATCGCCTTCGGCTGGAAAGCCTTCGCCTCTGCCTGGAAGAGACGTCTGGACGGGACCAGTCTGAGCATGATGATCTCGCCGCCACCGGCGGTGCGGGCGGAGAAGTCTCTCGGAGACGGAGGTTTTGAAGGAGGACGTCTGTCTGGATGGAGCGGGAGAGCAGGGCAATCTGAGGGGGTAGCAGGTGACTAGTAAGAGATGGTCTCCCATGGTCCAGAGCGTCTAGTCTTCGTCCGGAACCGGAGACGTTCGCGGGTTCCCTAGACGAGGACGTCATACCGGAGCCGGAGACGTTCGCGCGTTGCCTAGACGAGGACGTCATACCGGAGCCGGAGACGTTCGCGCGTTGCCTAGACGAGGACGTCATACCGGAGCCGGAGACGTTCGCGGGTTCCCTAGACGAGGACGTCATTGTATATGACTGCCTCCGGAGTCTCGTTGGTTTCCAAGCATTCGTTCACAATCTGCAAAAAGGAGCGGCATTTGGGAGATTTGTCGTTGGCATGCACGGTTGGCACTGGCATGTAACGTGTGATGAAGGTTGCATCATTGGACTTGATCTAAGCTAGCAAAAGTGAGCTCTGAGCAACAGAGCCGGCCGCTGACTGCCTTGAGAGATGGTCGATGACATTTAAAAAACGCTCACAGTGTCAGATGCTGCGTTTATTGTGAGACCCATTATTTTAACCTCCAATGGTGGTGAATATTGC